CCTTCCCTTCCCTTCCCTTCCCTTCCCTTCCCTTCCCTTCCCTTCCTTCCTCAGTCGGTTAAGCACCCAACACTTGGTTTCAGCTCAGGTCATGGTCTCATGGTCTGTGAGTTCAAGCCCTGCGTTGGGCTCTGAACTGTCAGTGGGAGGCCTGACCCTTTCCCTCCCCCTCTCTCTGCCTCTCCCTGACTTGCACATGGGTGCTTTCTCTCTCTCAAAATAAAGAAATAGACTTAAAATCATAGTGTTTCTAGATGTTTTTTCCTCTCTTTTCTCTGCAAGGCAGATAACTCACTCAGGAACTATTCTGGTTTGAGGCTGTGCTCCAGTTTTGATAAGCACCAGTCTACCTGTTTGTTGCATCTTGTTCCTAGTAAGGAGTCATCTGGAGCTTTTTATCTGCTCACCAGTTCCCTCGGGAATTCTAATTATCAGCTCCATAAATCTGCCAGAAATTCTATTCTGCTTCTCAGAGCTTTGAGGCTTAGCTTTTGATAGCCTCTGGCCATAAGATTAGGTAAATATCTTGAGGGGATCTTGTTTTGTTTTTAAGGCTCCTCCAGCCCTCTATTTTGTCCCTCCAGTGTGATAAGACCACTAAGCTTGGAGGCCTCTCCGTTTCCTGGCTGTAACCCTCGTCTGAGCAACGCCTGGATTCTTAGCTTCTTGCTCAAACCCAGAATCAGCAAATCCTCCCCGCCCTGCCCCCCCCCCCCAACCTGGGAAAAATCTGCTGCAAAGAGTCAGCTCGCTTCTCTGTGAATCTCCCTACTTTAGAATTTTAGGTCCCCCCAATCCCCCAATTACCTTTCCTTGGGTAATTCTCTGAGGCCCTTTAAAACGACGATTTTTATCTTTTTTTTTTTTTTTCTAGTTTATGACTGGAGCACTGGTCAGCCAGAAGCAACTCTCTGCTATCAAGTCTCTTGACTTGTAAAATTCTTTCCTTTCCTCTGAACTTTGAAAGCAGACTGTCCTTAAGGAGTTAACATCACATTTTAAAAACACATTCCTACTGCTGAGTTCGGGGAGGGGTGGGAAACCAAACTGGTTTAGGGCATATTCCCCATAATCACAGCTGCATGTAAAATACACACACACACACACACACACACACACACACACGTATTGTCCAAGATTGGAAATAAATGGCTGGGATAGGATTATGGCAACTGTTTTGTTCTTGTTTTGTCTTTTGTATATATTTTTGGTAACACTGTTTCTGAAATGTCACAGTGTTTATAAGAAGTATCCAAATAAGTGTAGATTGTCAGCGAGGGGTAGCAGGAGGAGCTCTGGCTGAGGACAGCGGTGGGAAGGTGGATTGGACAGACCTTTTTAGAACCTGAATTTTGTACCACAGGAACATATTAAGCGCATGCGTGCGCGTGTGCGCGCACACACACACACACACACACACACACCTCAGAGCTCCCAGGGCCCTGAAGTGCCACAAATGTTTTGAGGAGACAGGCATGTGGCTGTGCTCCCTGGTGACAACAATTGCAGACGACAACCTAGCCCTGATTCATTCCTGGGCACAGAAAATTGCATCTTTCAGGAATTGTGGTGAGCTTTTGTGAAAAGTTCAAAATTGGGATCTTGTCACTTTTTTTGCAGATGAAGGTATAGTGAGTAGAGATGGGAGCTTTGTTAGGTCTTTTTAGATCGCTTGTTTCAACAATAGGGTATGGGGCCTTACAAGGTTTATCTGAACATTGTACTTTTTTTTTTTTAAATAACTGTTAAAATCTTTTTTTTTTTTTTTAAGAGAGAGAAAGGGAGTGAGAGAGAGGGAATCCCAAGCAGGCTCTGCACTGTCAGCACAAAGCCCAACGCAGGGCTCTAACCCAAGAACCATGAGATTGTGACCTGAGCTGAAATCAAGAGTTGGATGCCTCACGATTGAGCCTCCCCAGGCGCCCCTGAGAACTTAACATCTTAACAGTGCAGCTGATTACCTACAGCCTCTCTTTCTGCAGAACGTTATTCTAGGCTTCTAAACCAGGGCTCCGTACACTATGGCCGGGGGCAGATCTAGCCTGTTTCCGCACAGCCCTTAAGACTAGCTTTACATTTACGTTACATGCTTTAAAACAAAGTATAAAGAAAAATACTTCGTGATACATGAATACGATACGAAATTAAAATTTTAGCATCCTTAGTTTTCTGGGGACACAGCCACATGCACTCACTGACGCATGCTCATGGCTGCTCTGCTCTCACCCTGCGATGCTGAGGTTGCGCACAGGCAGCCCTCATAGATTGCAGGTTTGGTTCCAAGCCGCCACGAGAAAGAAAAATACCGCAATAAAGCGAGTCCAATGAATGCTCTGGCTTCCTGGTGCACACGCCAGTTGTGTTCACACTCCACTGCAGTCAGGGTTCACTAGCACCATGTCTAAAAAGACCATGCAAGTACCTGAATTAAAAAAACAATTGCTACAAAATGCTAACCATCATTAGAGCCTCCAGTGAGCTGTAATTGTTCTGCAGGTGGAGGGAGGGCCCTGCCTCAGTGTCCCTGCAGCCGCAACCCCTGCACCTTGATGTTATGGAGCCGGCCTCTTCCTTAAATCTCCTGAACCCACCTCCACTAGTTTCAGGGTTTCCTTCTCAAGCGTCTCAGCTTTCTGAGCCCTCACAGAATTGAGGCGCGTGCAGGTCTCCCTCTGGGTTTGGCTCCGGCTTATAGGACTGTGGGGCTGGCGTGACTTTCTCTCTGGGCCACTCGAACCCTCTTGGAATCAGCAACTAAGCTGCTTTGCTTTGTGTGTGTGAATGCCAGAACGGCACTTTTTCCTTTAAGAACTTTCCTTTGCATTCACAACTTGGCTCACCATTTGGCCCAAGAGGCCTAGCTTTTGGCCCGTCTTGGCATCTGGCACACCTTCCTCACTGAGCTGAGTCACACTGGCTTTGGATTCTAAGCGACAGACGTGCACCTCTTCCTTTCACTTAAATACTCAGAAGCCACTGTAGGCTCATTCGGTGGCCTAACTCCAACAGTGTTGTGTCTCGGCGAACAGGAAGGCCCAAGGAGAGGGAGAGAGACGGGGGACAGCCAGTCGGTGGAGCGGTCACAACATTCCGCACATTTATGGCCTGTATTCGCAGTCTCACACGGGTGTGGTCCACGGTGCCCCCAACGATTACAACAGTAACGAGATCGTTCAACAATACGAGCGCGGAGCACCAGAGCAAATAATCCCAACGACAAAGCTTGGGATGTCTTGAGAATGACCAAAGTTGACCCAGAGACACGAAGGGAGCAAACGCTGGAGGAAAAGATGGAGCCACCACACTGGCTCGACTCGGGGCTGCCACAAGCCTCGTGCTTGCACGAAACACCGCGGCGTCTGTGAAGTACAGCAGAGGAAGACATGCTCATGGTTCCAGCAAAGACCATACACACACGGCCCTTGGAACCTGAAACAATTACTCTCCGGTGCTTCCCAGAAAAGGGCTGCCAGCCCCTGTGCGAAAGTACCTCGGAACAACGGGTTGCAGAGCGACCATGCAGTGCGGGAGCCTGAGTAGTGGACTCCCTACGTGCTTTCCCACTTAGACCCTGGGCTTGGTCACATGACTTGCTTTGACCAATGGGGGTCTAAGCGACACAATACCAGCAGAGGGTTGAAGGAAGACTGCACAATGGGGCTCATTCTTCTGCTCCTCTGCCCCCGTCACGGGAACAGACCCAGGCCAGTCTGGAGGATGAGTCATGAGAACCAGAAGAGCCCAGTCATCCCAGCTGAGGCCGGCCTAGGTTAGCCAAGAGCCCCACATCCCAAGACCCGCGCGGTGGCCTGGCTGACCTGCAGCTGACCGCAGACCCGTGAGCAAGGCCAGCAGATGTCACCCGAACCGGCCGGGGCAGCTGAACCCCAAGACCCCAAAGCCCTGTGACTGTTCACTGGGCAGTGCCGCTGAAGTTTGGTGGTATGTGTGTCACGTGTTATTCTGACATAAAAAACTGATACTATGGGCACGTGAGTTTAAAATTTTTCTTTTGCCAAAACAGGCTAAGGAATGGTTTTATTCTTCTGAGAGCAGTTTAGGGTCCTAATGGCAGGGAGAGTCTGATAAAGTAGAGAAGTCTGGAACTCCTGTAAGCGTCGGGGTGGGGCATCAGATTATATCTTGAATTCCTACCAAAATAGCTTGCACTCATAAGGGCACTCAATAACTATCTGTATTTGTTCCGTGGCTCAAGCTGCCCGCTGGGTCAAGAAGATGCTAGGCTAGGACATGACATGCCTCTTATCTGTGAGGAGATCGAGCCAGACAGACTCCAGCCTTTATGGAAAAAGAATTCAATTTATTTCCTATTTATAAAATGTAAAAAAAAAAAAAAGAAAAGAAAAACCGCCTGGGGTATAAAATCTGAACATCTATGGTGTGGTCAGTCAGGAGCTCAGAAATGACGCTCTTTGCATCCTTCCGTCAGTCACTAGTGTTCGGGGCAAAGAAGGTAGGCGTCAGGAGCCCCTCCTGTACCTGGTGAAGTGACAGCTCGCCAAGGAGAAAGCCCCACAGCCTTCCGTGAGGAAGAGAGGGGCCGAGGGCAGAAAAGGCAGAGGGGACGGAGGCAGGAGGCCAGGGAGGGTTGCGTGCTGGGATCTGTACTGGGAAACACTTCCGAGTGCAGGAGGGAAGAGCCTCCTTCCTGCCTGGTGAACACGAGTGGCCGGTGCCTGTCCTAGGAAGGCCAGGCTGCTTCCCGTGCACAGGGCCAGCTCCCACCCCACAGACGCACAGACGCAGCCTCTGTCAGGAAGGAAAGGCATCCATCAGAGAGACGAGAAGCGGTCACCTCTGCACTTGCGTGAACTCCTTGCGCAGCCATAACGAGTCCTGGTAGAAGCGAGGATCGCCCAGTCTCACGGCGGTGCGTTTGTAGAAGTAACAGTACAACACAGCCACTGCGGGCAAGGCGAGAAGGAGCTTCGGGGTTGCTCCTGAGTGCACGTTCCAGGCTAAGAACCAAACCCAGCAAGGCGGAGGGGCCCTGCCTCACCGCCTCCCAGGGACTCCCAGCAAGGGCAGTGGGCCACCACCTCTCCTGTTCTGGCCACGGCCCTTCCACTCATCCCATGCTGGGGGAGCTGGCCTGGGAAGAGAGGCTCAAGGGCTTTAGTGGCCTGAGCCACGGGGGGGGGGGGGGGGGGGGGGGGGGGGGGGGGGGGGGGGGGGGGGGGGGGGTACCGAGGTGACGCCTGAGGCTGCTCTGGTCCTTACCCAGTCTCTGGAATACAAACAGGGTTTGAAGTCCGTCCGTCCAGACAAAGCGGTTAGAATTCTTCCAGCGTAAGTTCTGCAGGAGACAGAAGTACACAGGGAAAGGTTAGCATCTCCACGTGGCTAGCTGCAGAAATGCTGCATGGTTTTAAATCAGGCTAATCTCCCCCTCCTTTCTCCTCACCACCCCAAGCAGTTGTTTCTCAAAGGAGCTTCAAATTCCCTTTTCTGCTTCAAAGGAAAGATCCTTTTAACCCTGAAGGAGGAAGTTTGAACCAAGCTATTTATTTCCTTCCATTCCATAGCCTTTTCCACGGAGAAGTGCTACGCATTATCTCAGGAAGGAGTTCAGGTTGGTCATTGAAGATCTCAGGCTCAGGCTCGGTTCCTGTCAGATAAAGGCTTAGTGCAGTCGGGGTTTAATCAGATTAACAGCTTTACAGTACAAAGCCAGGACCTATTTTGGCCCCAGGAATGAGAGCAGAGACCATCTTCTTCAGGAAGCACCTAGAGACTTGGGCACTGCTCTTTCTTTCCTGTGAGTGCTACTTCTTTCCATAGAATAAGAAGGGGAACTTACCAGAAGCCTCAGTCTAAGGCGGCAGCTTTAGTAGAGAAATAACTAGAGAACCTGGAGGTTTAATGCGTTCCATCAAAGTGAGTGCATGAGAAGCACAGGCTTTACCCAAACAGAGGGAACCTTTCAGGAAGCAGGAGGAATCTGAAACCACCAAACCTGGCATTCATTTGCTCTGAGGCTGTGAGAACTAAAGGGAGGCACCCTGGAGAAGGGTTCTTCTGGTGTAAGTGACGGGGACACGGCAGAGGGCACGAAGCACTGAAGGGCAAGGGGCACTCTTGGCCTGGCCATTTCCCACGGGACACCAATGCCTAAGAATTCCCTGTATTGACACCCACCCGCCAAATGGCTACTGATGAAACAGACTCGACTTCCTGTTTTAGCTCTGGCAGGACTGTTTGGAGTAAAGGTGAACTGAATATTCCAGAAGTGGCCCCTGACTCCAGGATAAGGCAGTCCTTTAACACAAAGGGTTGGGCAGAGGTGCCTTGTGCAACTGTCACCTGCCCAGCCCCAGGCGGGACCACACTCATTTCATCTGTTTCCCACCCAGGGTCCTGCGAGATGTGAAAGAATGATGCTGGTTTCCTTGAGACAAAGCTGTTCAAGCCCCTTAGGGACTCAGGAACTCCGAGCTCCACTCTTACCATGACCCAGACGTGAAAGGAGATGCTGAGGGCGAAGTACACCGCTGTGAGGATGATGGTCCCTTTGAACTTATGGAACAAGAGGCTGACCAAGCCAGCCTGGAAGACGAAGGTGTTGAAGAACATGAGGAAAACGATGATGATGTTGAAGAGGATGGCGATGTCCTGGATGCTGCAGACACAAAACAAAGCACAGCCAGATGGAGGCCTGTGGGGTGACCTGAGAGCTGGCCCTATGTCCTCGGGACACTATGAAGTCTGGCCTTCCCTGTGGTCTGGACCTCCGGAAACCCCCCAGAGGTGGCACGGGTCTTGGGTCCCAAATACATGGGACTAAAACTGCTGGCCGGCCCCGTCACTGGAGCTCAGTCCACAGATGAGGCTTTCCTGCCCTGACGCTCTTCACTGCTGGACCCTGGGGAAGGGAAGCCAGTTTCTTCCCTCCGCCTGTCATGTAACCTGGTCCCGTCAGGCACTTCCATCTAGCAAGATGCCAATGACCCCTTTTCCCCGATCTCTGCACGGACGCTGCCTTAGTGCCGTTCAGGTCTCAGTTCAGGTGTCCCCTCTTCAGAAAGACTCTGCTTTACCCCACCGCCTAGAGGAGCCCTCCCCTCCCCACCCCCACCTACTTTACAGCCAGTGTATAATATTTATTACCATATAAAATTATCTTTTAAAATACTGTTCACCGTCCCTCTCCGCTAGAATGGAAGCCCTGGAAGAGCAGGAAATTGTCAGGTTTACCGCTGCGGCTAGAACACCATCTGCCAGGCTGACGGATACTCATGGAATGAAGGAAGACTGAGCCAGAGACTAGTTTTCTGTTGAGAACTTGCCACACGGAGTCTATAAATCATTGTGTGGGAAAAATGCCAACCACTTCCATCCCATATATATGGATTGATACGATTACCCTTTTAACCTGCCATTTTGCAATCCTCTGTTATGGTGCTGTAAGGTTTCAACCCACAGAGGAAGAAAATGACAGGGTCGGCGGCCAGACCCTCTGACTGCCCCCTGAACCCCCGAACTCCTGGTAGAAGGACAGAAGGACGGGACCGTGGCATACCCAAGATGTGTTATTTTCCCGTCAGTAACTTTAAAATGCTCAATCACAGCCGTCGGGGCCCTCCTAGCTGCTTGGGTCCAGCCGTCCAGCCCCACCCCCTGAACTCACATGAAGAGCACCAGCTGGATGACGGGGGCCATCCGGAGCAGCTCTGAGAAGGAATTGACGAAGAGGTCATAGGACAGTAGCAGGAACTGCAAGGACAGCACCAGGCTGTAGTTACTGGTCTGCAGCATCTTCCTTCTGCTTTACTGGGCCCCGCGGGGCATATCCCACAGTGATCCGGGAGCCGGCTCCTGGCTTTGTCCCCAGCACTGAGGGGGGAGCACTAGTTCCTCAGAATCAGAGCTGTTTCCCGGGCTCTGAGACCAGGGCCTGTTGGGGGAGGGGGAGGGGGTTAGAAATTCATTAATAAAATAAATATACACTGAGGACCTACTGTGTCCCAGGCAGCATTCCAGGTGCTTGGGACACATGAGTGACTGAAACCACCACCACCACACCCACTAGTTGCTCCTTTTAGGGACCCTCACCCTCAAACTTTCTCCATGCCCGGAAGCTTCTAAACGCAGAGCTCCTTCCCTCCCTCTCTGCTTCCTTCCTTCCTTCCTTCCTTCCTAAGTTTGAATTTGCTTATTTGCTGTAAGTAATCTCTACATCCAATATGGGGCTCGAATTCACAGCCCTGAAACCAAGAGTCACATGCTCCTCGGACTGGGCCAGCCAGGTGCCCCAACATAGAACCCTTTCTACCTCGGAGTTCCGAGGAATCCCGGGGTCTACAAGGAGTGACTGTCCAGCCGTGTAGTAACATTAATTCTAATGCCAAGTGAAGCAGCAAACCTTTATATATCACTTGCAACATCTAAGGACTGTTTATTTTGTGTGGGGCTCAAACTCACGACCCCAGTATCAAGAGTCCCATGCTCCACCAACTGAGCCAGCCAGGCACCCCTGCCAGGGACTATCCTAAGCACTAAGATTGCTTAAATCTCACAATAACCCCACGAAGTAGAAGACACACTATTATTACTCCATCCGTTTTACAGATAGGACACTTGAGGCTCAGAGAGGTAAAATAATTTGTCCAAGGTCACAAAGCTAGTAGCAGTGGCAGAGCTGGGATTAGGAATCAGGTGGCCTGGGTCCAGAGTCTGTGTTCTTAGCTACTGTCCAAAGCTGCCTCTGACGTAACAGATCAGCAGGTACGTCACCAGGCGGGAAAGATGTTGGCACAGGAGAGGGGAAGCGGTGCGGGCAGAAGAATCAGAGAGAAAACAGTGCTCTCCTGCAAAACTTTTATGTTTCAGGTGGTAGCAACATGGTGGCACCAGGGAAGGTACATTCCAAGGCCCGAGGTGTCCTGTGACCCCTCCAGCTGGGTGAAATCTATAGATAAATTTCAAAATGCTGCCAAGTGTAAGAGAGTGAACTTAACATCTGTAAATCAGGGCACGTGGGTGGCTCAGTCGGTTGAGTGTCTGAGTTCAGCTCAGGTCATGATCTCACAGATCTGAGTTTGAGCCCCCCCCCCCGCCCCCCCAGCTCTGGCTCACAGCCTGGAGCCTGCTTCGGATTCTGTGTTGCTCTCTCTTGCTCTCTCAAAACTAGTTTTAAAAAACTTTAAAAAAATTAACATCTGTAAAATGTTTTATAACTTACAAACTCTATATTAACTGACTTACACACCCGTCCTGAGAAGTAACCAATTATGAATATAATCCCCATATTATACAGCGGCTCTGAGAGGTTAGGGATCCACCTCACCTGATGGAGACGTCCCCCCCACCCCCCCGCCTTGAGTGGCTGCATGATGGCAATTTCACTGAGCCGTTCCCTTATTCGTCAAATAATATTGATAGTTACACGCCCTCCCCCCCGCCCCCGCGCCACGACAACCCCGTCAACCAGGATAATTTCCTTTAATCTTCCCAACTGCTCTGCAAAGTGGTGATGAATGACACACACCCCCCCCCCCCCCGTTCTACAGGCAAGAATACAGGGTCAGGGTTCAAGTCATTCCTCCCGGTAGCAAGTGAGCAGAGCCGGGGGTCACGACGAGCGGTGACACCAAAGCCCCGCGCTCTAAGCTAGGGCTTCACGGGCCACCACGGAGGGCGGTCGTGAGGATCCGTGACCCAGAAACGCCCACCGCCAACTCTACAGCAAGGACGCCCTCCGCTGTAGGGCAGCAGTGATGCGCGACAGAACGAAGTCGTCTTCGGTCTGTCCCCCGCTCCGTGCCGCGTTCCCTCTGACCCAGGGCAGTTTTCCTCACCCTTCCCAATTCACGTCAACATGGGGCTGCCTTGGCGAAACACCCAAAGCCAACAGAGACAACAGAAACTCCGACTCTGCTCACTTTCCCCACTCCTCAAGCACGCTCACCTCAGAGACCCAACGTCGGTTGTCATGGGGACGCCGGCCTGGCTTCCGGGAACCGGTTTTAAATCCCGGAAGTAGATGGCGGCCGCGCGCTCTGTGTGCGCGGAGCTGTCGGCGGGTCGCCGACTTTCCCTCCGCGCGCTCCGGCCAGCCTGGCCGTCATGTTTGGGCCCCCGCTTTCCTGGCCCCGCTCCTCTGCCTCCTTCCCGGCGTCGCCGCGCCTAGCCCCTGACCCTCCCAGTCAGTGTTCCGCGGCCTTGCTGAGACCCAACCCCAGGCGACAGGCTTCGCGTCCCCCCGAACACGAGATGGGGGGAGGGGAGGGGCAGGGCGGAGCCGGGGCGGCACTCCTTAGGGAAGAAACTCCCGCGGAAGAGCTGGAGTTGAGTCCACAACTCCGGACTTCATTTCCCAGGCGGCCGCGCGCGCGACCGGAAGTGCCGGGAGCCTATAAGAGAAGGAGGCAGCCCGGCTCTTTTAACTCTGGGTGGCGGTACCCGGTGGGTGGGTGCATCTCAAAAAGTCCCTGATTCCGTCTGCCCGGAGTGCTGGTAGCTGTGGCGCCGGGTGGCGAGAGGCGTGCCTCGGAGACCCCTGCGACTCTCCGAGGTTCGGGGGTGAGAAAGAGCTCGGGTGGGGAGTTCAGGGATCTGGGTTCGAGAGCTGGCTCCGCTGCTACTTCGCTTCGTGCTGTCGCTACAACCTCGCTCGGGCTCAGCTGTTTTGTAGGGGACACCGTTGTCCTTGCCCTTCCTTCTACAGGTGTGGTTGCTCAGGCACGAAAGCTCTTCGGAAGTCGCTGTCAGCAGGCGCAGCCCCTCGCCATAATTTTCACCGAAGGTTAGCTAGGACCGACAGCCGCCCTTCGGCCCCGCAGAAGAGTCAGGGATTCCTGGAGCGGGTCTCCGGACACCTGAGCCAAAAGGGAGCAGTCCAGAAGGGCGGGTCTGTAATCACTGTGGTGCTAAGGAGCACCTTGCTTATCTCGCTCCTGGCTGGAATTAAGGGGTCCTCACTCCTGAGCCCCGATTTTACAGAAGCTACGTTTGGAAGTGAGGAGTTCTTGGAGCTGAGGGGAAGGGAACCTGGGTTCCTGTACCAACTCTGCCACTCACCTTGGCCAAGTGCCTTTCTTTCTTTGGGTCCCAGTGGTTTTGATCAGTAAGAGAAGAGGTTAGGACCTGAACCCGAAGTCTGATTCTCAGTATTCCTGGGGCACCTGGGTGGCTCAGTCGGTTGAGCGTCCGACTTCGGCTCAGGGCATGATCTCCTGGTTCGTGGGTTCCTGACAGCTAGCTCAGAGCTTGGAGCCTGCTTCGGATTCTGTGTCCCCCTCTCTGACCCTCCCCTGCTCACACTGCCTCTCCCCGCCCTCTCAGAAATAAATAAAGCATTAAAAAAAAAAAAGATTCTCAGGATTCCTAAATCCCCCACCATTCATCTGGAAGCAGGCGCAACAAATTAACTTTCTATTCCTTCATCTGCTTGTAGTTCTAAATTATAAAAGTTATATTGTAAGAGTTTGGAATAGAACCTTTTCTTAAGATGAAGGACTGAATGGAAACTTATGCATTTCCTACCCCAGGACCTGATGCAGCCAGGGAGAATCCTTTTTGTCAAGGGACTGAGGAAAGTATTAGGTTGGAGAGTACATTTCTTAGATCATGGTCCACAAACTTGTACCTTACAGGCCAACACCTGCATGGCCTTTTTTTTTTTTTTTTTTTTTTTAAATTAAAGTTTGTTTTGAGAGAGAGAGGAATCCCAAGCAGGCTCTGTGCTGTCACAGGGATCCCAATGTGGATCCTGAATGCACGAAACTGTGAGATCGTGACCTGAGCCGAAATTAAGAGTCAGGATACTTAACTGAATGAGCCACTCAGGTGCCCCATGGTTTTTCCCATTTTTAAACAACTAACAAACTAAAGGGATAATATTTTGCGATCTGTAAAAATGATATGAACCTGAAATTTGCCCACAAATAAAGCTTTTTGGGAATGTAGCCGTGTTTATTTGTGAAGGTATTATCTATGACTGCTTTTGCACTACATCAGAAGAGGTGATGACAGTGGTGACAGAGACTGCATGGCCTGCAAAGCCTAAAATGTTTACCATCCTGGACCTTTATAGAAGAGTGTGGGGATTTCTGCTTTAGAATGGGCAGAATCTGAGACCAAACAATGGCGAGCACACCCTGAAGTTGTAGCACAAACCTACTTTCTTGGAATAAATGAGAGAATATTCTCAGTGTTTGGGTGGCAGTTTTCACTGTGTTCTTTTTTTTTTCTCTGTTTTTGTACTCTCGGGCAGAGGAAGGGCTCCCCTGGGTACTGTGAGCAGTATAATATTGCAGCCCTGGGTCAGGAAAGTGTGCCCGTCGGGTATTCTAAGTCTGTCCCAGAGCAGTAACCCAGGACTCTTCTAGGGGGGTGGATGCAGTCTCTTTTGGATTATATTCACTTTTGTTTTTTTTTCTTCTTCAAAGGAAAAGAAAGTCATGAGAGATACTGTCTGATGGATGGAGCCTGCTGACTGAGTGCTTTATGCTGACTTCACTGGAGGGTGACTGAACATCTGGTGACCCGAAACTTCCTCTGCTCTTAACGGGGACTAAGGGGACGCCTCTGAGGCTGGGCCGCAAATCTCTGAGCTCAGTAGTTGAGTTAGGAAACTTCTAGGAAGACGGTGGCATTATTTTCTCCATCCAGCCTTATGCAAGCTTGGTTTTCCCCCAGCCCTCGGATCTAACTTTCTCAGCGATTACTGCCAATGTGGATCACATTGGGAGAGCTCGGTGTCTTTTCCTGGTTAGGTGGGCACCTGTCATGGAGAGAACTGGCATGACATGCTGTCGGGGCCACTGAGAGGCCTGGGCAGGTACAGGGACCATGAGCTTCAGGCTTTAGTTAGTAGCTGGTATGACCTACTGTGACGACATCAAGAAAAGCATAATATTTTGCTCTCACTGTGTCCTTATGGACATTTTCTCACTTGACCTTCTGACAATCTACGGTCAAAGAGAAAACAGGGGCCTTGAAGCCAAACAGACAAGGATTTGAAACTTCATACCCGTTTACTGGTTCCTAATGCTGGTATTTAATCTTTTTTTCTTTAAGTGTTATTTATTTATTTTGAGAGAGACCAAGACAGCACAAGCAGGGGAGGGGCAGAGAGACTGGGCGAATCCCAAGCAAGGTCTACACTGTCGGCGCAGAGCCTGCCGTGGGGCTTGAACTCACGAAACTGAGATTGTGACCTGAGCCGAAATTGAGGCTGATGCCTAACCAACCTTGCCACCCAGACGTCCCAAATCTTTCTGAGCCTTGGTTTCCTCATCTGTCAAATGGGGATGAGGCCCTCTCACAGGGTTGTCAAGAGGAGCAAATGGGATCCTGTGTTCATGGGTTTTACTCAGTACGTTCTATTCTGGTTACTGTGCCTTTTTTCAGATGAGAAGACCGAGTCCGACAAATGCTAAGTGATTTGCCCCAGGTGCCTTACTTCATAAGGATCGGAGCCAACGCCCCCACTCTGTCAGCCTACCAGTAATTCCCAAGGTGAGGAAATTCGATGTTTTATCTCTTTGGGAGTTCTTTCCTGTTTCAGGGACTTCCTTTCCTCTCTGTTAGTGGCTTCAGACTGAGGGATCTGAACTGCAGCATGTCATAGTGGCGCCTTCTCAGTGTGAGTCCACGGGACAGGGTGACCGCCTTGAGAGCAGGGTCTGTGCCGCCTACACATGCAGTTAGCGGAAAGCAGAGACGGCCCCTTGGCTTTGTGGGTCTGTCTGTCAAACCTCACGCCCACCTGCCTGGTGTGAGGCATTTGTCTGAAACCCAAGTTGGTTTCTGAGTTTATCAGGTACACAGGGAAAGCTAAAAATAAACTCTGGCTTTCTAGACCATGAATTTGTGCTTCCTCCTCTGAACTTTCCATGGAGGAAGAGAAAGCAGAAGTCTCAGGCCCAGGGACACCTGAGACCTGTTGTCCAGTTGCACGTGGGGAGTGTGAGAGTTCCAGAGCAACAGGCTGATCTTACTTCCCCAAAGGGAGGAATAGCCCCCCCCGGAGTTCACCATCTGGGGAAGAACTTTTCTGTAGAAGGACTCTCTTCCTTCTTCCTGATACTAGTGTGTCTGCTCCTTGCAGATTATGGTTTTGCCTCCTTCTGTTGGAACTGAGGGCCTAGGCATTTGTATGATCTAGCCTGGATTTTGATCCCGTCCCTAATTTTCTGTGGGGGGTGGGGAAAGGGTGGGGTGGATTCTTTACCTCTTGGCCTGTGGAAGGAGACCAGTGCCAGGGCTGTGGGCCCAGAGCCATGACACCTGGCCCCGGCAGAGGAGGCCCACCTCCAGAGCTGGCCGCAGGCCCAAGCCGGCTGTACCGTGTGCGGGTGGGTGCTGGGGCGGGGGCCGGCCTCCCTGTGCGTAACCAGAGATCAGGCCTCACGGGGCAATGCCCAGGCTGGTGGCAGGAGATCTGAAGTAAGAAACATCCACCCGTGGGGCCAGAGCGAGCTCGGTGTTCCTTCCTTTAGCTGGTGTGTGGAGTGTGCTCCAGTCAGCAGAGCCGGCAGGGACGCGTGCCTTCTGCTGCTTCTGGGGCTCCTCATCAGAATGGCCATCGGGTGGTTCTACTTGTCCTCATATGCCCTGTCGCTCCTGGGTGTGATGTGCATCATTCTCACTGTTTACTGGATGCAGCTGTGGCACGGTGGCTTTGCCTGGGACGGCTCCATCCTCATGTTCAACTATCACCCCGTGTTCATGGTCGCTGGCTCTGTGGTGATCTACAGTGCTGGTGAGTGCGCGGTCCCGGGAGGTGTGCTATGACCCCGACCTGGCTGGGGCAGGGCTGGCCTTTATCACTGCCGGCTTTGCGGCCATGAGAGTGAGGGAGGCTGGGCTGTCTGTGGGCCTGGGTGTCATTTGCAGGAAGTAGTAGTGAGGATGGGGGCATCTGAAAAGCATAGATTCACAGACGTTCTGGTGCAAGGGTTGGCACCTGTTTTTTGTAAAGGGCTGGATAGTGAATGTTCCAGACTTTGCCGGCTCTATGATGTGTGTTGCAACTCCCCATCTGTATTTTTGTATTGGGAGCAGCCATGGATCCCATGAAAACACAACCGTGACCGTGTCCCAATAGAGCCACTTACCAGAACGCATGGCAGGCTGGATATGGCCGCTGGGCCGCAGTTTTGCCAACACTCTGTTTTAGGGAGCAGGAGACTGAAGCCTCTCCTGACACAGGTCCTTCCATGAGGAAGCTGCTTATCCGGCCCATGTTAGTGCATCCAGAGCTAGGCCTTGGGCCCAGACGAGCCTCACTTTCTCCCTGCAAAATGGGAACAGTGATGACGATCATAGCAGCTTATCCCGTGTACTTCAGATAACCTCATCCCGTTTTGTTCTTACAAGAAGCCTGTGAGGTGGGCTCTGCCGCTATCCCCATTTTACAGATGAGAAAACTGAGATTTAGAAACAAGATGCCACCCGGCTGAGAGGCAGAGCCGGGTTATGGACCTCGGTCAGCCTAACCTGACTAAACGCCTGGGTTTGTGACAGCTGACTGCGGTTGTGAGAATTCAGTTCAAAGAACTAAGGAAAGTGACATTGCTTTTTCACCCGCAGAACTGTGCACGAGGGCTTTTGTTCTGTAATGTCCGAGAAACCCGCTCCTCACGTTTATCACTGTTCTTTCTCCCTTTGCCCCCTTCATGGCCCAAACCATGTGAGGTGCCGAGGAGTGGGTGCTGATGTGCTAGCATTTCCTTCCTCTCGGGTTGGGAGGCCGTGAGGGACGGCGCCAGGTCGATTCCCCTGACGCGATGGGGGAGCCGAGGGGCAGAGGCCGTGCCCTGGGATGCTCTCTCCTGCAGCGTCGCTGGTGTACCGCCTGCCGCGGTCGTGGCTGGGGCCGAAGCTGCCGTGGAAGATCGGCCACGCGGTCCTGCACCTGCTGGCCTTCGTCCTGACCGTGCTGGGGCTGGTCGTCGTCTTTCAGTTTCACAGCCATAGAAGAACCACCAACCTCTACTCCCTGCACAGCTGGCTAGGCATCGTCACCGTCTTCCTTTTCGCCTGCCAGGTGGGTCCTCTGCTTTGGGTTCCCACTCGCGGATGGTGGCCGTGGGCCCCGGCTGGGCCTCCGCACCGAATGTTCTCTGGCTGTTGCGCGGCGATGGCCCTGTAGGGAACATCCCATAGAACTGGCCGCCTGAGTGGCCGGAGGAGACTGGTGGTTCCCACATCCGTCCCGCCATCCCCTCCGTGGTCCTAACGTCCTCATGGCACACGCCACGCTGATGTGGTCTGTGGCCTTTTCCACCTTCCCCACCCCCCACCCTTCTGTGAACCAGAAGCAATTCTGGAAGTGGTTTCTGCATCTGACACCAGCCCCGCACAGGCGAGGTTTATGGGCAGGACCGGGAGGCAGCAGGGACGTTACCAGGACAGCTGGACTTTTGGGAGACTGGGCTTCTAGCTAAGCATTTTGCGGAACATTCTGGCTTGGCTAAGAAACCAACCCCAGTGCGGGAGCTTGGTGTGGTGGCTGGTGGGAGGTTTGAGCTGGGAAAGAAGGGTGAGGGGCCGCTGTGGGGTCGGGGGCGCTGGTGGGCGGGATGGCCTGCTGCACCTTCCAGAACAGGATGGTGCAGCCCGGTACCTCCTTGTGTCTGCAGTGGTTCCTGGGCTTTGTCGTCTTCCTGCTGCCCTGGGTGCCTGTGTGGCTGCGCGGCCTCCTTAAACCCATCCACGTCTTCTTTGGGGCCATCATCCTCTCTCTCTCTGTCGCATCAGTCATTTCTGGCATTAATGAGAAGCTTTTCTTCAGTTTGTGAGTGGGATGGGGCCCCCAACCCTAATGGGGAGGGGGAGGTGTAGCATCTTCCAGAGATGCACCCTGTGATCACAGGGCCTATCCAAGGGTGGGGAGCCTCTGGAGTTGGGCTCGTTTTTGATCTGGAAGGTCATGGAATCTTTAGGTTGAGATTGGTAAACTGGTCAGCAAAAATTTATCTCCCATCAAATTAACTTTGCACCTACTGTGTGTCAGAAGCAATTCTAAGCACCTTAAATTTATTTATTTATTTATTTATTTATTTTTAAATATTTTTATTTATTTCTAGGAGAGAGAGAGACAGCGTGAGCAGGGGAGGGTCAGAGAGAGAGGGAGATACAGACTCTGAAATTGGCTCCAGGCTCTGAGCTGGCAGTCAGCACAGATCCCGACGCGGGGCTCGAACCCACGAACCGCGAGATCATGACCTAAGCGAAAGTCGGACGCTTAACCGACTAAGCCACCCAGGCGCCCCTAAGCACCTTAAATTTAATCTTCTAATCAATTTATGACAGGGATACTGCTGTCATTGCCACTTACAAATAAGGGAGCTGAGGCACAGAGAAGTTAAGGAACTTACCTAAGGGCACACAGTCTGAAAGTGGCAGAGCTGGGGGTTAAGATTACAACCTCCTGCCTCACCACTACCATCCCCCATTATTTTAAGGCAGGGGGGTGGGTAGCGAAAAGCAAGTAAGATACGAGGTCAAACTGGGGTTTAGGTCTGGGCTATGCCATTTACTAGGTATATGACTGTGGGCAAGCCCATCTTTTATGTATTTATTAAAAAAAATTAAAAAAAAATTTTTTTTTGAGAAAGAGAGAGAGACAGAGCATGAGTGAGGGAGGGGCAAAGAGAAGAGAGAGGGAGACACAGAATCCGAAGCAGGCTCCAGGCTCGGAGCTGTCAGCAGAGCCTGACTCGGGGTTTGAACTCACAAACCGTGAGATCATGACCTGAGCCAAAGTCGGACGCTTAACCGACTGAGTCACCCAGCCTCCCCAAGCCCATCTTTTTGAGCTTCAGTTTCCTCATAGGTAAAAAGCATTCTGCAGATATTCGTTGTGGTGGCAGGGACTGAGAAACTACGTTAACATTCAGGGTCACAGATGGTCCTTGGAAGCTTTTCTCCCCATCTGTTAAGGATACTGGGTCCACCACTGGGCAAACAGGTGGAAAGTCTCTCGAGGGCCCACAGTGATTTTTCTCCTCTTCAGGAACAATGACACGCAGCCATACTCCAGTCTGCCCAGTGAAGCTATCTTTGCCAATAGCACTGGGATGCTGGTGGTGGTCTTTGGGCTCCTGGTGCTCTATATCCTGCTGGTTTCTTCTTGGAAACGCCCAGAGCCAGGGATCCTGAGTGAAGGACAGGTATGGGGTCCTGGTCTTCCATTCTAGGTGAGGGTAAGGCCAGGCCCAGAGAAGGGTCACCTGAGACGGGCCTGGGCCTTGCCAGGAAGCCCCCTCAGTAACATGGTGGGAAACCAGATGGGCTGACGGTGGGGTTGGGTTGGCTTGGGGAGGGGGGGTGCACTGTGTCCAAGCAGCACACCCCAGCCAGGGTGGCAAATGGAGCTGCTCAGGCTCAAGGGTGCCCAGGGCCTGTCCCTTGGGAGAGGACAGACGGTTACACCCTTCCCCGAACTCCTGTGGTTTCATGAGGGGAAATTGTGGCCTTCTGTCCCCCAAGGAGGGGCTGGAGCATGACGAGAGGGCGTCGGAATTCCCATTCTTCCAGCTTTGGGGCTAGTGCTGGGGGTGGGAGCTTAGCGCGCAGGCTCTGGCTGACAGGTTTCCCCCTGAGGGATGTGGTGAGACGGGGTGTGCATCGGGCTGAGGGACTTTGGTGCTTCCCTGAGAGATGTGGTGGCTTGGGCGGGGACCACCTTGCGGGTCGGGGGTCTGTCTGAACCGCTCAGGCCAGGCGTGACTCCGGCCAGCCGGGGGCTGTTGTGGTCTCCAGCCGTTGACCCCTGTGTCTCTGCTTGTCATTTCAGCCCCTGTTGCGTGACGGAGAGTGAAGCGGGAAGGGCACCCACGAGCGGGCGGAGGTGTTTCCCATCAGCAGGCAGAGGTGTTCCCCTCAGATGCTCTTCTCTGCCAGGGGCTCCTCTCTGGTTTCGGCAATAGACTTGCTTTTGGGCCCAGACCTCTCCTTGCCTCCGTATGGGGCCTGCTCACCCCACCAAGCTGCTGCCCTCCTGCTCTGCTTGGTGGCTTCTGTACCCCTTCCTGGCATCGCCTTCTCGGGCTCTCCGCACACGCTGCCCCAGCCGCTCACGCTGCCCCTGCTCTCTGTGAAGTCAAGGTGATTTCCCCTTCAGGCCCGTAAGGATCCGGTAGGAATCTCTGCAGCTTACGTGAGCCAGGACGCGGGCGCAACCCGTATGTGACAAGTGAGGGAGGTAACGGTGTCCGGCAGCTTTCCCCTGAAGGTGTGCATTTTATTTGGGCCACCCCAACCATCGGGCAGGTGGCATCTGCCGCTCCCTCCATCTGGCCCACCCAGACATGAGGTTGGAATGGAGAAGATGGAAGGTGACGGAAGGAGAACTTCCACGGAGAAGCCGAGGAGCTGACTGCTCTTTGCTGTTCTGTTTCATGTCGCTGCGCTCCATGTCGCCTGCACTGTGACCGTGTGGCTCCGCCTCTCGCTGCTGCTACAGCCGTGGCCTAGACCCTGGCCTTTCCCTGGGACTTACATGCCCGTCAGTGTCGTGCAGCCCCAGGAACCCTGATGGCCTGCTCTCCCAAGGACCGCATGTCGCTGGCTGTCCCAGTAGGGAGGAGCCCCAGGAGCGCCTCCTCCCCAGATCGGGGCCTCTCTGCCTGGCCCCGGGCAGGCTCAGCCTCGCTCACTTGGCACAGCCCTGCCCAGCTGATTTTCACTCTGCCCAGCTCCTCATGCTACAAGCCAAGGTTGTGGTGCATTGTGCCCCGCAGAGCCCTGGGGCCATGGCCACTTTCCAAGGCGCTCCCAGCTGAGTACCAGAGTGGCTTTTTGTCCCCTCAGTGTCTCCTTGCTTGGCCAAACCCAGTCTCATGTTATGCCAGAGGGCGAGCAGCTGGGGGGCATTGGGGGATGGGACCGGGGAATCTTGATGGCGCTGTGGCTTTTCCCACCCTCTTCAGATGAGCCCTGCCGGGACCCAGCACCTGCCGCCCTGTTCAGTGACCAGCAGCACTTACCCCAGGCAGGTGGCAAGGAGGCGGACCACCCACCCCAACCCCCCGTGGCCCGCTGTCGGCAGGACTGTGACTAGACTTCCTGAGGGGATGGGACCTTTGAAGCCCCCAGGATGACTGCCAGGCACCTCGGTCATGTGCCCAGCGCCCCCTCTTTCTGCGTGGGTGGGTCTGTGACTTGTTCATGCAGCTCGGTTTCCATTTATCGTGTTTTAAAGAATCAAAGCCTTCTCTACTGTAATCACATTGTGGTAAAATGAGCTCTGGGAAACTTGTAAAAGCCTCAGGACAGTTCTGACCGTGAGACTGGGGAGGAGCACATCAAAAGGCGCCAAAGATCTCAGGACTGCCCTCCTGGAATGGCATGTGACTCGTGATATGTCCCGATGGCCTTAATGATGAAAAGCTTCTGCGTACTCGGTTATCTCACAAGGAAGGAAATGTTTCCTGTTTTATAACTGGAACTCAGGAAGGGTAAGTGGCTTGGTCACTGGTCTGAGGTCCCTCAGCCAGGAAATGGTAGAGTTGGGATCCACAGGCCAGGTGTTTATGCCAGTCTCCTTCCCAGCTGCTGGGTATGTGCACCTGTGCACACTGATAATCATACCTAGTGGTGAGGGACGTGAGGTAACAGACCCATGGTGGACGGGGAACCCTGGACAGAGAAGCCCAGGGACTGAGGCAGCCTGCAGCCAACTTTGGGCAAAGTAAGTGATGGAGGGGCCTCCTTCCCTCTGTGACCAGCTGCCGATCCCTCCTGGTGGTGGAGCAGATGACCCGGAAGGATGTGGTACAGACACTAGTGATGGCAGTAACTCAGTGAGTGAGAACCTGGGCTGTGCTGGGGGCTTTACCTTCAGTTCATATCACTCCCTGTCCACGTCTCTGTCAGATAGGTACTGTTCTGACTGTACAGATTCCAAGAGGCTAAATAGTGGGCCTGAGTTTATGTAGCTCGCTGGAAGCCAGATCGGGATTTAGTTGTGGTTGAGTCCACGCTCGTGCCTTTAACTGCTCCCCGGCACCGAGCATGGGCCAGGCGTGCGCCGTACCATCTCCACCATGCGCCAGCCTCAGCAGCCCCTCCTGCCTGCCCCAGTGCTATCGGGGATTGCCCTAGGGACCTGGGTGCAGCTTCTGTCCTACCGCTAAGCTTTAGCATATGGCGACTTCAAAAAAGTTACACACACACACACACACACACACACACACACAATATAGTGGTTTCTTATGGTGTCCCGTTTGCCCATTGGATTCCCAGAGAATACATTAGTGCTGAGAAAAGTACACGTATGAGGTGTGGTGTGTGTGCTGGAGAGAGAACAGGAATGGGATCCCAGTGGAGCCAGCCCAGCTGTGTAGACCCTGCCCTTGGGTGTCAGGTAGTAGGGGATGGGTCGTGATCATTTTTCTTTTTTTTGTGTTTATTTATTTTTGAGAGAAAGAGACAGAATGTGAGCAGGGGAGGGACAGAGACATGGAGACACAGGATCCGAAGCAGGCTCCAGGCTCTGAGCTGTCAGCATAGAGCCCGACGTGGGGCTTGGACTCATGAACCATGAGACCATGACCTGAGCCGAAGTCGGGATGCCTAACTGACTGAGCCACCCACGCGCCCTGGGTCACAATCATTTCAACCAGAGGCTGAGGCCTTAGTGCTCCCTCAGCAGCAAAAGCAGGAGCTCTTGCTTCTGTGTGTGTGTGTGTGTTTTTTTTTTTTTTTTGCTTGTTTTTCACATTGACTCAGGGTCAGGGTTGGAAGGTCTTTCACAGGGAGCCTTAAAACCAAATTAGCACGGCCGATTAAAGGCCATGTTGCCACCCAAGGAAAATGCCTATTGCCAAGGCCCCGAGGTGGCTGGGGGCAGAGCAGGGCGACCCCAGCATCCCTCCTCCCTGAGGAGGCAAAAGGCAGTGCTAAAGTGGTATGTGACCCACCGTGGGCCTGCAGTCTCTGTAGGAAATCCGGAGGTTGGTACAGGGTTCCCTGTCGAACTTGGGACAGGTTCTGGGGACAAGGGGACAGGAAGGGTGACAGCTGGAAGACAAGAGGAACTGCCAGTGGCCACCTCCACACAGCGGTGAGAGGGGCACGGAGGCCCAGGGAGGTGCTCACGCGCCCGGGCCCTGCAGGGCCTCCAGGATGGCCCGGAGAATGGCGGCCGCGGCCACTGCCCCAGGGTCCGGCTGGTCCAGCCGCGCAGAGCTGATGTAACTGGCTCTCCCGGCTCCGGCCTCCATAGTCTTGGTGGCCTCGGCTGCAGCCTCCGCACTCTGAGTGGGAATGTGGCAGCAGGTCAAGGACGAACCACCGGGCCTCTTCCTCCCATGGACCCTGCACCCTCCTGCCCAGCTCTGTCAGCGCCCTGAGTACTGTAACCAGGGTGGAGGGGTCACCTCTCACCTACGTCTAGCAGGGTGAGAAGCTACCGCCTACCGAGGGCTTGCGGCGTCCTAGACACCGTGCCTCGGCTGCACATCTCTCTTTAGCCTCACAGCAGCCCTGAGGCAGGAACTCCTCTCCGGTTTAGAGGAGGAAACAGGTACAGGAAGGATATTAACTTGCTTGGGGTCACAAAGAGATGGGAGCCTTGTGGCTCCAAGCCTGTCTTCCTGGGGGGCTGGGTCCCGCCTCACTCACCTGGACTGCTTTTGTCAAAACGTGGAGCAGACTGGCGCCTGGGCTCTTCCAGGCTTGGAGCTCTTGTCCTGCTGCCCACAGGGAATCCAGCTGGACAGGTTGAGGGGGGGGGGGACTGAGGATGGGCCCCGCCACTGAGGGGAGCCTTTAGGGCCTCTACACTCAAGAGAGGTAAGGGCTGGGCTGAATACACACCATAGTCCTGTCCCCTGGAGCAGCCTTCCCGTACCTGGCAGGGAACAAGAATGAGTGGGACTCCCTGCAGGGGATCTCTTTAGGGCTGGGGACAGGGTCTGGCTGGGAGTGGTGACGTCACCCACTGCCCCCAGCCCGCCCTGGTCTCGGGTCTGGGGCTCTGGCTCACTTCTGCATGGCCTCCAGGCCGGCCTCCATGGCAGCAGACCAAGCCGGCAGGTCCGTCTTGGCCTTGAGGGGCTGGGCCGCCGCGGTCAGGAAGAGGCCGTAGAGCTGGGGGGGACCAACACGCTGAGCACATGGGGCGCACCTGGGCCTCAGCCACCCGGGGACACCTCCGTCAGCCCTGCGGTCCCAGGGGCTGCCAGCACTCACCGCCCCAGAGGAGCCTCCCATCTTCTCCAGGAGCAGGAGGGACAGTTTGGAGAGTAGCTGGGCAGGGCTGCCAGGGGGCGGACCCTCCTTCAGCCACCCCTGGATGGCTGCAGACAGAGAAAAACGATGACGAATTCAGAGGCTCGGGCCCCAACCAAGCACCCAGGCCTCGCTGCCAGGCGGAAGGAATCCGACCTCGGGAGATTCCCAAAGCTCCCTGTCTATGTCCCCTGTGCAGTCTGCAGAGGGGCAGGAGACGGGGACTGACAGGGACCTGGGCAGTCACCCGGAAGGTGAGGCACGCCCCGACACTCTTGACCTGACGTTCCCTGCCTCGCGCCCCTGCTTGTTTCTCCTCGGCCCTTGGCACTGCGCCCTCTCGCACGGATATTCCCCCGTTGGCTGTTTGCCTCCCTGACCCGCACGTAAGCCACGAGGGCAGGGAGTTTTATCTGCTTTGCTCACTATTGTATTCAGAGCACCGAGAGCAGTGCCAGGCCCGGAGTGCGCCTAATTCTTGCCGGAATCCAGCCTGTGTTGGCTGGATAATCAAGAGCTTTTCATTATTCTGGGTAAGCTGAGAAAAATAAGGACAATTGTACGAGTTTCCCTTGAACCTGAAGTTATTGTTCACTATAAAAGATCACATTCTGGGGCACCTGGCTGGCTCAGTAGAACATGCGACTCTTGATCTTGGGGTTGTGAGTTCAAGCCCCACGGTGGCCTAGAGCTGACTTCTGTAAATACGTTTATAAATACGTCATCTTATAAAAAAGATTACACTTTATTTTGCAGTAACAACCTTTCCACGTTTGGAGCATTAGAAAAAACTTTTCTTAAGAAAACAAGGGAACGGGATGCTGGGTTCTGTGAATGACCTCTGTAAAATAAAAGTTGGCCCTTCCATGTGAACACTCCCAGGGCTTTTGAAATTGTTCTGGTTCGTGAAATGCCAAAATCTCATAGTGAATGTTGGACACCAGCCCCTCCCCCCTAGAGGGAGCCTGGCACTCACCTCTGGCAGCGCGACTGTGGGTGGTGCCACAGTCCCCGTCACCGGCAGCTCGATCCAGGGCATTCAGATGTTCCTCCAGGCCCAGGAGGGTGGCGCACACCCGTTCCAGGGCAAGCGCCATCTGCTGCGAGGCCGAGCCTGGAGAGGGAGGCCAGTGGGGAAGAGGTACGCCTGGTTCCTCCACAACTGAACTTGACCAGGGTGGGGGGGCATGGGTAAGAGAGATCCCTTGTCTACCCCACACCCCTCGGGGCTCAGGCCGACTCCCTGGGCCGCCTTCCCTAATGGCACGGCGGGGTACCTCCTGCAGCAGTGGTGTCGGGAACCTCCAGAGGCTCGGCAGGGGCCGCCCGGCTCCGCTTCTGCCCAGTCACAGAGACCTTGGCCACATTGGGCCAGGCCGATGCAGTGGTCTCAGCATCTAGGGACAGCATGATAACTCTTGTCGACACAGGTCAGCCGGTCAGGGATCAAGTGGGACATGGACTTCCCACCTGTGCCTGGTTCCCTCCATCTCAACCAGCAAGTACTGAGCGCCTGCTGTGTACAAGGGAAGGGTGGAAGGTCCCGGGGGAGGATCCTAATACCAGCTCCTCAAGTAAGAGTCAAAGGCTGGCGAAGCCACAGAGGTCATGGTCCCTGCTGGGGCGTCTCCAAGTCCCCGGGGCTCCCTCTGGCCACAAGGAGGCCAGGCTTGGATGACCCCGGCTTCCAAGTCTCACCGATCAGTTTCAGGAGAGGCTCATCCACCAGCAGAAGGGTGAGAGAAATGCCAGGCATCTCCAGGGCGGACATGAAGGTGCCCACTAGGGCACGGGCGATCTTCACCCCGCGGCCCTCTGCAATACCAGAGCCAAGGTCCATAAGGGAGGGAAGGAGAGGAAGGCGGGCCCTTGTCCTCAGAGCGCCAGGGAAAGAAACAGAGAGAAACAAGGACTTTGGAAGCTAGAGTCCTGAGGTTAGTCGGGAGAAGGCTAGATTCCCTCAGGGATGCCCTGAATCACCACATTCCCTGGAGGTGCCCCCTATAGGGAAGATAGGTAATTACAAGTCTCCTTTACTGAGTTCTCATCAGCTGCCGGACCCTATGCTAGGTGTGTTCTGTTGGCTTAATCTGGCGTGATTCTCACAACGACCCTGTAAGGCAGGTACTACTACTGCCCCCTCCTAACAGACAAGGAGACAGGCTCAAGGCATCCAGCAATCAGCTGGCAGAGCAACGGCCTGACTTGGGCTCGTCTGCCTGTACGGCCCCTGCTCTGGGCCATCTCAACACCCCATTTTGGCTGCTTTTCTTATGTCTGGCTTTGAAGGGCTGCAGGGAAAAGGAGCTCCAGGGGTTGGGGAGGTCCCCTTCCGGTGCGGGGCTCACCCAGAGAGCGGACAGCCGCGTCGGCTACGATGCCCAGTTCCAGGAATGACAAGCCACCCAGGTTGTTGACCATGAGCACCACTGAGGAGCCTGCTGGGAGACACCTGCGTGAGACTCTCCAGGCCCCCTGCCCAGAGTAGGAGGAGAGGCTGGGGGACAGCGAGACAGCCCCTCACCTGACTGCACGGGCACATGGGACACGTTGGAAGAGTTCGTCATGTGGTCGAGCATGAGTGTCACGATCTCATCGGCAGATGCCATCTGTCAGAAGGAAGAGCCAGGAGTGAGCCGCGTTGGGAGGCCTGGGCCTACCACCAGCCTGGGCCACGGAATCCTCTTACCTTTATCCGGCGCACGCCAGCTTCCCCGTGGATCCCTGTGGATAGACTCGGTCACCGGGGACCCACACAGGGCCTGCGGATTTGCTCCTCACGTTTTGCTCAAGGATTTACTAAGTGCTCAGCACGAGGCTAGGCACCGTGTATGTGAGGGGTATTGGGGGCAATGGACAGGATAATGAAAACACAGCCCTGCTCCCTGGGAGCTTATGGCTGGGTAGTGGAGACAGCTAGAACCTTAACTACTTAACTTCTAACTAGTTAAGTAGCTTTAACTAGAGGCAATCATGGCGAGACCACCTGAGGGCTTCTTTGGAAGCAGAGGGGGAGGGAGAAGGGAGCTGGGTGGCCTCTGACCTCCCTTTGCTGATTTTGGGCAGGGGCGGAGGGGCCCGGAAATGGTGTGAACAGAGACAGGGAGGGGAGTGGCGCAGAGTCCCTGTGGCCAGAGCCCTGGGAGTGGACGGTAAAGCAGGTAAAGAGACCAGGCAGGCTGGGTCAGAGGGGCCTCAAGTGCCCGCTTAAAAATATTAAGACCAGGGCACCCGGCTAGCTCTGTCGGAAGAGCGTGCCAGTCTTGATCTTGGGGCTGTGAGTTCAATCCCCATGTTGGGTGTAGAGATTACTTAAACTTAAAAAATAAAACAACTAAGACCGCTTTGTTCCCTGATCTGGGCGGGCAGAGAAGACAGCTCCCAGAGCAGGAGACGCGGGCAAGGCCCAGGCGCAGGCACGGCTGGGACATGTCTGGCCCCCAACTCACCCAGGCCCAGCTCCACCTCATCAGGTGAGAGCTCGAAGGTAGGTCTGGAGCCAGGGACGCTGCAGGAAGACAAGCTCACTCCCAGGGTTCCTGCAGGAGACGAGGCGGGAGAAGGGTGGTTGCTCTCAGCACGGGGCGCCAGGCCAGGCGGCAGCGACACCCGGGGAGCTCTGCCCACGGCAGCCTCTTGGCTGACACAGGCTGCCAGACTCTTCGCCTCAGTGGTGGAAGAGAAACCCAGCTTGGGGACCCACGCTACCTGTCCCCGAGAGCTCCCCCAGGAGACGTTCCCTCAGTCCCTGGGGAAGAGCCTGGAAGGCCCTCCTGGTCAGCCCCAAGGTCAGCCTCAACCTCCCACTGGCCCCTCCCAAATCCCTGGGCCGGCACTCACCCATGGCCTTGGCAACCACGCTCACCCGATTTGTGATTTCCTCCAGCCCCACACCTGCCTCAGCCAGGGCACCAGCCACCTGCACCCGCACAGAATGAGGGGAAGGGGTCACCATACCACGTGGGGGTAGACGAGTGGCTGGGGCTGAGCTTCTAGTTGGGAAGAGGGCATCTCAGTACGGCCCCATCAACCCGGCCTCCCACATTCAGGGCAGAAGAGTGCACCCTCTGCGTGCACAGTACACTTGCCAGGAATCTTCAAGCACCCCAATCTCTTGGGAGCCAGAAGAGACTTTGCAAACAGAGAAATGGGCCCAAAGAAGGGAGGTCACTGGTCCAGCGTCACACAGCTAGTTAGTGGACACCTGACCAAGGAGCCCTGGTTGAGTCTCAGAAGCCTAGGAGGCTTTCAGCAGGTGAACAACCTGGTCAAATACACATTTTCAAAAGGCACCTCTGGTGCAGTGCAGGGAACATACTCGAAGGGTAGGCAGGAAGCTGGTGGGTAGCCCAGCGAGGAACAGTGACCGCCCCCTGGGCATGAGCACACACGCACTGAACCAAGGCTGGGACAGGAAGGGCAGGGCTCTGAGGGGCATGTGTGTCGTAGGAGCATCCGAGAGTTGGGTCACTGGGACAGGGCAGCTGGCTAGAGGGAAGGGTCTGGGAGAATGCTTCTATTCTGCACTTGGGTAGCTGAAGGGGCTTCTGGATTGGGGAGTGCTGGGGAAGGAGTGGCTCCTTGGGCGATGAGTTGGCTGGAAAAGGTCCAGGTACCAGGTGCCACCTGGAAGAGAAGGCTGGGGGCCAGCCAGTGTCCCGGGTGGGGTAGGGATCTCACCTTGTGTATGAGCACTGTGCCGCAGAGTCCCCGCCTGCCCGCCTTCTTCAGGACGGTGAAAGCGCTGTCATCCCCGACAACCACCATCTCCACGGGGATGCCCTCGGCCCGGGCCTGCTCCCGGGCCAGGCCGAAGTTGAGCCGGTCTCCCGTGTAGTTCTTCACGATGAGGAGGGTCCCCGCTGCAGGGGCAGCCAGCAGCGCCCGCTCAGTGCCTGGCCCCCCACAATAGCAGCCCCTCCCGCACACGCCAGGCTTACCGGTGCCCGCCTGGGCCACTGCCCTGATGGCTGCCAGGATGCTGCCCACTGCCGGGGAGGTGAACACGGCTCCCGCGATGACCCCAGTCAGCATCCCCTTCCCTATGAAGCCTGGGGACAGAGAGGGTGCTTGCTGGGGACCAGTGCCTGCAGTCCTCGGGGCTTCCACACTCCTGGGCCTCATGGTTTGGTGAGCCCTACTGTGTGCTTGGTGCTGAAAGAGTACGTGGCTCACCCTCCACAGACCCTTCCTCAGGAGAGGCTTTCCCTGACCTCCTAACTGAGGCAAGTCGCTATCCCGTCCCCAGTGACCAGGGGGTTCCCTTTACCTTGCTCTCCTCGCTCTGCTACTTCACGTATGTGCTCTGCAAGCCTCTCTCTCTTTTTACAAAAAGTTTACTTGTTTATGTGGAGACAGAGAGAGAGAGAACCAGCAGAAGAGACACAGTGAGAGACGGGGACAGAGGATCCAGAGCCTGATGTGGGGCTCGAACCCACGAACTGTGAGATCATGGCCTGAGCCAAAGTCGGATGCTTAACCGACAGAGCCAGCCAGTTGCCCCCGGAATGCTCTCTTTCACTATGTGTTTACCAGGTTACCGTCTCCCCAAAGGACAACAGAAGCTCTGTGAGGACAGGTACCTTATCTTTTTGATTCACTGCTGCATCCCTAGCACCCAAAGCAGGCAACAACAGGTGCTCATTAATGGCGCTCAGGTGGCTTTGCCGAGAGGGACAGGGAAGGCACAGATGATACAAAGCCCGGTCCCTGCCCCTAGGAGTTCTCAATGGACACTCACATGTCTGGCACTGAACAGGAAACAACCTAGGGCTGTCCATGTTGCATGTGAAAATGTAGGGTGGGAATTCAGAAGGAGGATACTGTTGTAGGCTGGAAAAGTCAGGAAGGCTTCATGGAGGAGGGGAAGGGTCATGGGGGCCTCGAAGGCCAGGATTCACAGAATCGCTGACCCGCAGAGCTGGAAGGGCCTGAGAGATCATCTGGTCCAACTTTGTGCCTCAGAGACATAGAGCCTGAGGCCCAGAGAAAGGCCACGATGGGCCCCAGAGCACAGCCTGAGGGACCAGGAGAGCAGGAACAAGGACCTGACCTGCGCTCTGTCCTGACCCCCCCAGGAGCACCGAGGATCTCCCAGGAGCCCGCCTCCTCCACTCAGACTACTCACCGGCATGGGCAGGCTCATGGCCAGAGCCCCCGCCGGACAGCAGTGCCACCCGGCCCTTGAGGCTGTCCAGGTCAGAACGGAGGGCCACGCGGTGACCTTGTAGGAGCTGCAGGTGGGGGTTGCAGGCCACCAGGCCGGCAAGGGCCTCGTCCGCACAGCCTGCCACCGTGTTCACCAGCTTCTTGGATGTCTGCGGGAGAGGAGCGGGGGGAGGCTCCGGGTGGGACACCCAGCTGCGGCAGAGACCCCTTAACCAGAGGAGTCCCAACACACAGCAGTTCCTTGAATTGGGCCTGCCTTTCTTAGGTGGCTGTTTCTGGAGTTCTCTTAATTCGGGATTATTTATTCGGGGCAAAATGTATGAAGTGCGTGGGACTATGGCTTAAATTTACCTGGGAGAATGGCTTCAGGACAAATAAAAGAGGGGAACTAGAATCCTGAGTATTAAAAAAAAATGTAGTAACATCAGGGCCCAGCAGTCTTCGCCTGTCAAAGGAGGAGAAGCCCTCAGCCTAGGAGGCCCCGCACCCATTTGCCGCTCCAGCTGGGCCTCTGGTGCGGGACAAACATCTCCCGAGCCTCTTGGTCCCAGGAACTGCGTGTCAAGAGTTAAGAGAATGCTGGGCCTGCCCTTGATGGAAACGCAGAGAGATCATTGCCACGTGCTGCGGGAAGTGCACGTGCATTGTGTCCTCGGCGCACCCCGAGAGTTTTGTGAGGACAGGCAGGAGTTAGGGAGGTAAAGGGGGTCAGAGGCCTAGGCGTAGGGAAGAAGGATGAGGCTATTCCGGGTGGGGGGAGAGTACACACCAGGGTCCGCAGGTGTGAAAGCGTATGGTGGCCGGGCCAGGAAGCAAGTTAGAATGAGCTGGGCAACCAGTGGCCGGCAGGAAGAGGTGGGCTTCCTCACAAGCAGAGGTGGACCCTGGCCGTGGGACACCTCGCTTGGGAGGGTCTGGAGCGGCTGGCCTGAGGGGAGGGCCGGGCTGACACGGGGTGCAGGCAGCGGCGGGCGTGGGGGCTAGAGTAGAAGAAGACTGGGGTTCCGCGGTCACGAGTGCTTGGGCTCAAAGCCCACGTCTGCCTCTGGTCGGCTGTGACCTTTTCTTCCTCGGCCAATTGGGGACTTAATAAACTAGCGTATGTACCTGCTGTAGGGGAAGAACTGAATAAAAGGCTGCTACTCCCCTTTTCTACACCTTGCCAGCTGTATAAGGTTTGTAGATGGGGGAGCGGGCCCTGCCTTTGTCCCACAAAGAGACGAGCCCGACGGGGATCCCGGAGGGCAGGCTCCCAGCGCCACCTGGTGGCCCGGGGCAGCTCTGAGCCGGGTCCTGTCAAGGTGCATCTCCCCTAAGGCTCCTTCCCCAATCCTATGAGGGCACCTGGGTCCTTTGTGCCACTTCCAGCGGGGGCCAAAGCTGAGCCACCTGCTCTGGGATTAGGAGGGTGGCCCAGGTCAGCAGGAAGCGAGCAGAATAATAACACTGGCTCTGTTCCCAAGTAGCGACTGAGAGCGAGGTCTGGGTCTGAGTGCTCCTGGGCATGTTTCATTTACTATTCCCAGCAACACGATGGAGGGCAGATTAGCCTGGAAGAGGAAACCGAGGCATGGTTTAGTGACTTTGCCCAGGGTCACACAGCCAGTAAGTGTCCAGGTCTGCTTGGCTCCAAAGCTCATTCCATTTGAGCCTTATGCTGTTTTCCCGAGGGGCTGAAGGGAGGCGGAGAGTGACAGAAGTCTTGTCCTAGTAAGGGCATGGGCTTGTGGCTCAGAGCCCTCTGGGGACCGGAATACGCAAAGAAACTGTGAGTTGCTCTAACTTCAAGCCCAGCCCCCAGGGCCACCACGGCCCCGAGAATGTGTTCCCTGCCATTCCTGACAGTCAATCCCACCTGGGATTTGCAAGCACTTCAGAACCAGAGCCAGAGGGGCAGCTCAGGGACCAGTGCCAACCCTGGTTCCCAGAGGCCTGAGAGGATAGAAAAGTAAAGGAGGTTGATTAGGCCCTGAGTGAGCCCCCCCCCCCGATTCTGGTCTGATCACCCCCTTACAGCCACTCGGAGGTGGGCCTTAATCTGCCTCGCATTGTAGACGAGGAGGAAAAAACCCAAATAACCTCAGAGATCAGTCTCTTACAAGGTTGCTGACAGGCTGAAATTTGAACCCAGGTCCGTCCCAGGCCTCCTTTGGTTCAGATCTAGTTCCAGAGTGGACCTGGAGTAACGCCCAGAGGCAGGTGAGCCACCCACGGCGTAGATCCCACCTCTGGGACTGGCGCACACTCGCCCTGGGTTCAGGAACCGACACCAGACCCTTCACACCTGCTTCTGTGGCTGCTACGGTGTCAATCACAGAATAGGCACCCGGTAACAGTCTAATCTAAACATATGACCGAGACCAGGGGCTGATGGGCCTTGGACTCCCATCCAAGTACTAACCAGGCCCGACCCTGCTCAGTTTCGGAGATCAGACGAGATCGGACCGATGGGCCTTGGAGAGACTCAGAGGCTGCGGCCCCAGGCCCGGCTGGGACCAGAGGGGGAATGGAGGGAAGCAGAGATCTGGCCCTGAGAGGAGAGGAAGGAGGACCCTCTCCTCTCATAACCTCTCTGAGGCAGCAGCATCTCTTTGTCAGGGTGTAAGGAACCCCAGCACGCCTGGGGCTGGCACCCCCACTGCTCCAAGGCCACGGTATCCTTCCTCTGCCCTGGTCGTCATGGGACTCACCATGGTGGGGGGGCTCTGAAGCAAGCTGAGTTCACACTTCCGCTGATGGGCGATCCCGTGGGTGCTACCTGGGTGTAAGCACAGCGAAGGTGGTAGGCGCACCTGCAGGAGTGGGTAACAGTATGAGCTGTTGGTGGCACTGGCAGCCGATTGGCACAATCACGCTTCCACGGCTCTGGTAATGAGGGAGCTGCTCCAGACTTTGATCCAAGTCCAAACTCTAGTACGTGGGCTGCAGATGGAGAAGAGCGTGGGGCTGACCAAGGTTCACGCCTACACTTGGCTGCCAGAAGTCAGACTGATCCATGCTGGGCACAGGGGCTGCTCTTATGCCCAGGGACAGCACCCACCTCCTCACCAAGGGGCATTTACCCATGGAGTAACTTCAACTCTTATATGGGCATCACGTGCAGCAAATTGATTTATAAAGACCTTCACACACTTGGCCTTGGCACCACACCAGGAAGGAAGCAGCTAAGTCGGTGACCCCATTTTACCTCTGGGAAACAGACTCAGAGAGCTCTAATGACTTGTCCAAGGTCATACTGGTAATAAGAGCCAGGACCCAAACTCATGCCTAGTCTTTCTACAAAGCCTGTGCTCTTTCTATTGGTTATTCGGTGCTTCCTAAGTCCACGAGAATCCTTGGTGGGGGGAACCACACAGGGAAACTACAAAGCCATTTTAGCTTCTCTAAGTGCAGCCTTGTTCAGGGTCTTGTGCTCACCATGTGTCTGCAATAGAAATAACCCACATCTAGGGTCCCCACCTAGCTCTGCCTCGGACTTCTTGGGGCGATCTTAGGTAAACCAGTTCCCCTGAGCCTCAGCTTCCTCATCTGTAAAATGAGGGTTGCCTTCTCTGTGGCATTCTGTAGGTGCTCAGAGCCACCTGGTTCTCCTTCTACTTCTTGCAAAGCCTTTCTGATGTGCAGTGGCCTGGAAATGGTAGGGGCACTGCTTTCCTGGGCCATTCAAGGGTCTCATCCCGAGAAAATTCTGGTTTTGGGTTTGAGGTCAGAATTTGTACTAATAATGAGGGCAAGTGGCCCAGGGGGCCCTTCCAAGTCTGAAAAAGAAAACACAGTTTAAAAGAAAAAAGGCGAGGCTCCTGGTGTCCTCCGAGGTAAGGCGGAGTGATCAATCATTCTAGGGTCAGGTGAGGGTACCGGCTGAGTCTGGAGGAACTGGGGGTACTAAGGAGAGAGAGGTCCGGACCTTGGTTCTTGTCTGGGAGGTGCACAAATTGCTGTCACCTCCTTGCCCCTCTTGGACCTCTGCAATTCTTCCGGTTCCAAAAGGGAGATCAGCCCCGAGAATTCTCCGAGCAATGGAAAAGGGACAGGACCGGGTCTTCGGTTGGGCGAAAGACGAGGACGGGGCTGAGGGCAGAGGGTCGGTTCCGAGGGCGGATGGAGGGGCCCCCACCCGCTCACGCCCGCATCAGACACCTCTGAAACCGCAGCCGCTTCCTAAGGACCCCCGACAGCTCGGCCTCATCCGGGTACTCCAGGCTCTGGCGGTAAGAGGCGGGGCGGGGCCTCTGGGGGCGGGGCCTCTTTTGGTTGGCCGCCGAGGGCGCCGTGAGTCCTCCAAGAGGCCAGGTGAGGCCGTCCCGTGATGCCCCGCGCCCCGGCCGCTCTGGCCTGCAACGTGTCTCTGGGGCGGAGGCAGCGGCATTGGAGTTCGCCGCGCGCGGGTGGGGGCCGCTGTCTCTTCGCCTGTGTCCATTTCTCTGTCGTTGCGCTCGAGTGCCGACGGGCCGCCCCGGACCTCGACATGTCGTACAACTACGTGGTAACGGCACAGAAGCCCACCGCGGTGAACGGCTGCGTGACCGGTGAGGCTGCCGGGGCAGGGGACCCCGCGAGGGAGGGAGCTGGGGGGCACCGAGGCCTAGGGAGGCCCGCGGCCCCTGGGGCGGCCGGGCGGGACCGAGTCCCGGGAATGGAAGGTGCTGGCGGCCGACGGAGCTCCGCCAGCCCACGACATTAAAGAAGCTGTCCTCGGCACGCGCCTTTTGGGGAGTAAAGCTGCGCTTGAGGGTCCCCTTTCGTCCCGGGAGGTCACTTGGCCTCGGGGACAGGGACGGGCCCCACCAGGACAGAGAGCGAAGTGTGAGTTGATTGTGCGGGGCTGCTGGGGCCCCCAGATTGGCCTCGTGCGGTCAGGGGAAGGGTCGGTGGCGATGGGACTTTTTTTCGGGTCAATATTTTCCAGTAGGAGAGCCTGGAAGGTGCAGGAGGTGGAGGGATGTGAGGAATGTACCCGTTCACCCAAAGGAGAGCAGTGTTCTTTGCCTGGGGCTGTTGTTTACTCGAGGGAGCTGCTGGAGCGGCGGGTGGATGGCCCGGCCCAGTGCTGGGTTTGCCTTGTTGACTAGGCAAGGATCACAAAGGACACAGACGTCCAGAACCCCGGGAATAATCTTCCTGAACCACGTTCACAGCAGAATATGAAGACCTCAAATTTGTATATTTGTATACATCCTAATCATGATTCCAAAACAAAACTCTTGTTTGGGGAGTTGGGAACTGTAAAGGAGTGTGGATGGTGGCGGGGGTTGGTAGACTGCCGGGAAGGCAAGAGGTGTGGACAAAACACTGTCTTAATAGAAAGCTCTGAGAATTTGCATTCGATCTGGTCTGTTTGGTAAAGATTTTGTGAGAATGTAGGTAAGGACTGACTGGAGATGAACACTTTCTCCAGCATCCCCTCATGAGAAGATCAGTGTGCCACTGCAGTAGGAAAAGTAAAATTGGAGGGCACAGAGCCATCTGAAAGATTTTCACAGTCATTGTCAGTGGAAGGGCATGCCACTTTTAGGCCTGGTCCGGTTTTCTTAGTCTGATTGGAGAAGTAGCTTTCTTGAACGTGTGAAGTGAGACTCTCTGAGGTGCTGGATTTGGCAAGAAGGAAGTAAATGGAGGGAGCCAGAGAAATCTGAAATAAATGTGAATTCTGGAGGTATTTAAGTACAAGTGATAGGATTATGTAGACACTGCTCTGGCTTCCAAAGTTAGAGGATCTGTTCCTTTCAGGACACTTTACGTCAGCCGAAGACTTGAACCTGTTGATTGCCAAAAACACGAGATTAGAGATCTATGTGGTCACTGCTGAGGGGCTTCGGCCCGTCAAAGAGGTGGGCATGTATGGGAAGATCGCTGTCATGGAGCTTTTCAGGCCCAAGGTAAGTGCTCTGGGTTGGGCCCAGAAGCAGGAACTGTCGTGGATGCTCTTGCCTTGTTCTACTTCGGCTTGGGCTGGGTGAAATGGGGTTTAGGAGAGAAAAATCTCTCTTTTTTTTGAATGGCGGGGTTTCAAGTTATATTCTTGAACAAGCTTCCTAGAAGTAGAAGAGAGTCACTAGGAAAAACATGGTCAAGTTGACTTCTCTAGAAGGGGAAACCACGGCGGTTTGAAATGTGGGTCACCATACTGATTCAGAGAGTAGGCTCTTGACAAGGGCCATTCTGGTTTTATTCCATTTCGATTCTGACTTTGGGTGGTGTCCCCTAACCTTTCTGAGCCCCAGAGCCTTATTTGCTTGTTTGTGGAACG